GGGGGAGGGAGGGATGGAGCACTGTGTCCCTCGTGGCGGTATAGACTTTTAATTAGATTCTCTTTACAGGGTTGTATCCTTTGGCATCCTTTGTCACAAAGGACACACACACTCACGAAAACACACACAATCACATAAATATACGCGCAGTTCCTTGTTACAGCTGTCAGAGTGGAGCACTCCCTTGGGTGCTTTTTAGAAATCTTAAGGGTATAGTTAGGCTTCACTGATCAGTCTGCAGCCATAAACGTCTGTGTGTGCGTGTGTGTGTTTGTTTCTGTTTATAGGTGTGTATTTTCCACAATAAACATTTCTTGGGTAAATATATTTGCCATAAAGCGGCATGTTTGATTCAGTAATGTGCTATTGAGATTGGAGAGGAATAGAGGAAAGAGGGATTGAATATAAACCGCAGAATGAAAGTTTCCAAAAGAGGCAACGTGCAAGATGTGAGAGGGACAAAACAAACACATATACTTGTTTTATTTTCAAAGCCAGTCCTCCATATAACACTTTTTAACAGCTGATTGGTCAGTTGGTTGGTTTCGGAGAATGGAACAGGTGCTGCTGGTCTCAATGCGATTGGATCATATAACATGATGTCCGCCACAGAGGAAACTACACTGATTACGCTGCAAGATAACAATGCAGACCTTCACATGATAGAGATCACACTTGGTTAACCAGAAGGACATTAAGGGCAAACTAGATGAAATTGAACTCATGATAAGAACTGACACAAACACTTGTGATTGAGCTCATTCAAATTGTGTTTTTGTTCATCTGCACCTCCTCTTTATTTTTCTTTCGTAAATTCCCATTCCATTAGGCAGCCTGCAAGGAATCTGAAGACTGAAGTTCACAGCTGTCAGTCAAATTGTCTATTTCTAAAAATGTTGTCTTTCTCTTCAGAAATTCGGCAGAATAAATGAGATACTGTACCTATTTCCTATTCCTTCCTTTTTCTTACTTTGATTTGAGCTTTGTGTTAGGCAGAGCAGAACAAGAGAACGAGCACTGGTAGAGAACGAGACGGAAAAGAACATTTAATGAAGTGAGTCACGGATGTAGACAGAGAATATAACCAACAACCTGTTATAGTCAGAACTGCTGCTGGAGAAGAAGTCCTTGTGTGTGTGTCTGTTTCACACAAGCTCCACATGCGTTTGCACTAAAGAAGCAGTCACATTTGAAAGACCTGCTTTTCAAATTCCTGCTGTTTGAAGATTGACATTCAAAATCTTTTTGATAAGTCTGAGAGAGCAGAGAAAGTATGACATGGCTACTTGACAGATCCATTATCTGCATGTCCTTGACCACTATCCTGTAAGTGTGGCCCCTACTAGTGGAAATAAAAAGCACTAACTGTCAGCCGTGGCGGAGCTGGAACAGCCACAATTCATAGCATCTCAGCAGCTTGGCGAGAGGTCACTCTCTATAATCACTGGAAGAACAGCCCCCCTCTTAAATAAACACCTCCTGGAAAAACATTTTTTTATCACCGCTGACAACATATGGTGTTACAGAAGACATTTTCAGTCAGTTATTATCACAGTTTACAGAACATGTCGGACTGACATAAGATGCATCTTAAATATTCTAAGAAGAACATGTGCTGTACATTAAGCTTCTTTGAGTTGTGAAAAGCGCTATATACCGTAATTTTCGGACTATAAGGCGCACCTGAATATAAGCCGCAGCAGCTAAATTGAATGATGTGTACATATATAAGCCGCACTGGACTATAAGCCGCAGGTGTTTTAATGTTTAATTACCATATGTAAGGGTTCGTGCACAGAGGGGATTGTCGGGAAAGAGATGGCTGTTTGAGGAAGCTCCCATTTATTAACATTTCAACAAACAAGTTGCATAT